AATAACAGATACAATTCAGATCTTTCGCCATCAAATATTACAATTCTATATAGTACAGCAGGAATGTAAATTTATTTGAGAATGTTCTTAAAAGTTTTTCTGACTCCTTACTCAATATGGGCTTATAAAAATCTATAACACACACCTCATAGAGAATTAAGAGCAATAAGGAGGTTCTTTGGTTACATCAGTGGTTCTCAAACTTCAGTGTGCATCAGAATTTCTTTGGAGGTGGGAGGGGTTGTTAAAACATAGATTGCTGGCCCCATCTCCAAAGTTTCTTTTTTTTTTTTTTCATATTTATAATTTTATTTATTTTTCCCCCAAAGCCCCAGTAGATAGTTGTATGTCATAGCTGCACATCCTTCTAGTTTCTGTATGTGGGACACGGCCTCAGCATGGCCGGAGAAACAGCGTGTTGGTGCGTGCCCGGGATCCGAACCCAGGCCGCCAGCAGCAGAGCGCGCGCACTTAACCGCTAAGCCACGGGGCCGGCCCTCCAAAGTTTCTGATTCAGTAGTTCTGGGGTAGAGCTGAAAAGTCTGTATTTCCAACAAGTTCCCAGGTGATGCTGATGGTCCAGGAACCACACTGTGAGATAAAATCACTGGGCTAGGTAAATGCTATCTTTACTTAGTATACAGAGGTTTTCAGACCTGGCTGCACATTACAATCACCTGTGGAGCTTTCTAAAACTACTGGTACCTGTCTCCAGTACCAGAAATTCTGACAGTCTACTGTGATACCCAGGTCCCAGTACGCTTTAAAAACTCTACTATGTAGCCAGGGTTGAGAACCACTAGTAGAGACTACGAGGCCAAGAAGCCCAAGGTCTGGGAGTTTGTGTTAGCTAATAAGTTCCCCTGGTATATTAGTTTCTATTGCTGCTATAATTACCTCAAATCTAGTGGCTTAAAACAACATGAAGTTATCTTACAGTTCTGGAAGTCCAAAATGGGTTGGCAGGGCTGCATTCCTTCTGGATACTCTAGGGGAGAAGCTGTTTCCTTGCTTTTTTCAGCTTTTAGATGCCTGCTTCCTTGGCTTGTGGCCCCCTAGTATTCCAATCTGCTTCCCTTTTATAAGGATGCTTGTGATGACATTGGGCCCACCTGGATAATCTAGGCTAATCTCTCCAGCTCTAGATCCTTAATCACATCTGCAAAAACCCCCTTTGCCATGTAAAGTAACATATTCACAGATGTAGGGGGGGAGGGAGGACATTATTCTCCCTACTATACCTAGTCTCTCTTTGTGTAAAGACGTTTCATTATAAAGTCTCCCCTAATATCAAAATAACTGCAAAGAGCAATCAATGTTGGCAGGGAACTAAAATGAGGAGGGTTGGTGAAAAACTACCCTCTCCTCATCCAAGTAAAAGACTGGAGGTTTATCCTCTGGACACAGTCAGAGGATCTTTGGGGTGGGGGACACAGGCAGAGTTGAGGGAGGGAAGCTGTATTAAAAACAGGATTGAGTAACTAAATGCTGAAAACCCACTACCCCCACCCCACCTTCTCCCACTACGCTCCCAGACCTTTATCCTTCTGGAAGCTTGTTAGGCTCCTCTCTGGGGAAGCAGATCAGCCTAAGAGAAAAAACACCTCTATCTTTAAAATTTCCCCAAAAATGTCCCAGCCAGGTATCCCTTGAGTGACACTCAGTCTGCAAGCCCTTCTTAGGTCCTCAGAACTTCCAATCAGCTGTTCTTTCACTCAAAAAAACCCCATCAATCAAAGGAAAGCCGCTTAACACGACAGGGATCAAAATAAAAACAGAAAAAAAGAACTTGGAAACTAAAGAATATAA